TTTTCAGAGCAAAAATGCTCTGTGTGTGGAAAATATTATTGCAATATTTTTCTGTCTAAAGACACTCATGCTATGTATATAGAGAAAATTACCATGAAGATTAAAATATATATCTAGTGACTATATTCACTGGATGGTTATCAAGTTATGAACTAGTTCATGGGGTTCATTCTCTTGCCTTTAAGAAACATTAATATATTTTAACATTTTAATCAAGGGTAGACAAGGGCAGAGAAAATATGTGAAATTAATTCATTAAGTTTATTTATGATTTGCAGCTCTGGTTCAAGCTGTTACTAGCAAAAAAATAAAGGTTAAAACTTATAGCTAGTTGGTTTCTCTTTCTTTCAATTATTCTCACTATCTTTATATGCCACCAACGTGAATAATTAGAAGTTGTTTTATTTCTTAAAGCCACAATTTTGTCTGTCATTGACAAGTCTACCGCAATCAACTGTACTTTACAGTCAGTATTTCCCAAGGGGCTAACAGATCAAAAGACAGATGAAAAATAGGGCAATGCAATGAAATTCTCTTATTTTTATATGATATTAAAACAGATCTTAAACCATTACATCTATAATTAACTGGCTTTGTTTGAGTACTGGGAGAGAAGTACAGTACATATTCCCTATTTTGGTAAGTGATAAAACGATTCATAAAGTCACCCAGGCCAAAAGCTCAGGAGTCATCCTTATTTCCTACCTCACAAAACAACTGAAAACCAGCAGACTGATTGAAAACCAACAGATTGGTATCTCTCTCAACATCCCACCACCAAATCTAGAAAGCTACCAACATCCAAAAACATCCATCAATTCCTCTTTTTTTCCTGTTAGAACTGAGGGACCTGTCCTGTTGTCCTCTCTCTAATACATTCACTCTTCTCCTGTTTTTTTTTTTAACCTCTGCTCCATCAAAATGTTTTAGATGGCACAAGTTCAAGCCATCTAAAACAAAATTGCACATACATTCCCTTCCTGGATCAAATCCCTTTTACTTCATTAATCCTATTAACCTCCAGACATCCTAGACCAACTGGTTATCTAATCTGATCCTGTTCCCAGCCTGACTCTAATCCAGTTTCTGTTTTATCACTTCTGTTCTCCACAGAGTCCCCAGATGGACTCCCCATCACTTACCAATGGAGTATCTGTCCTCATCAGATAGCACCTGACACTTCTGACTATTCCTTCCTTCTTGAAACACCCTCCTCCCGGGCTTGGTGCCACATTCTCTCTTGGTCTCCTGCTTCACTCTCTGGATAAACTAGCTTTACTCCCCACGATAGCTATTCCTCTCTGACAACCATCCCCACCTCCAACTGACCTGTATTCACCAAGGCTCTCACACGTTACTTCTTCCCTTCTCACTCTGTAGACTCTCCCTAGGTGATTTCACTTTCTTTCTTCTATATGCGGGTACTCCAAAATCTATATCCCCACCCCATTAACCAATCAGGACTGTCAGATCCATAAATATAACTCCCTCCGAGCAACTTCTCCTCAGCTATTTATAAGCATTTCACGTTCAACATGTCGAAAATCAAACTCATTATCTCCCCAGCTCGCTCCCAGACCTGCTCTTTTTCCATTTTTCCCTATCTCAAGTCCCTTTATTTACATATGTATATACATATCCACATATATGTACACACACGTGTGAATGTCTGTGTATAAATATATAGACATGGGTCCCTGTTCAGCACCACACAAGGTGCTCTGGACACCTGCAGGCTCTTTGTTACATCAAAGATTACAACCTAGTGCCATCCCAGGTTGATTCTTTATTCACACTTCTAACCTCTCTTCTTTCTGCTTCATCTTTAATTATGTAAGCATTGTATGGATACATTTTTCTAATAAAATAACTTTTTAAGTTTTCTAATAAAAATTTTATTTTCTAATAAGTTGTTGAAATTTTAATTTCTAGTGACTTATTTATCCAGGCTTCTAGCACATTTGATGACAATTCTTGAGAGTGATCTACACAAAAGTATTGGTAAATTAATACTTAACACTTGTTTTAAAAAGAAGAAATATTTAGGTTGTTAAGTTAAAAAAATGACCTTACCTTGATGTCAAAATGGATTACTGTCCTCAATACCATATAGGCACTGGAAGGCTAAGTGCTTAAAATAGTGGCTAGTATACTGTAAGTTCTGTACATTGGTGTCATTGTATTATTGTTATCTGAATATTATTGATTTGAAGAAAACAGGGAAAGCAAATGAAACCAAGATATAAGCATGGATAAACATAGTTGTTTTCAAATGGTACCTTTGTATGGAAGCTATTCAAAGAGATCCAAGGAAAATACCTTAGTTTTATATTTGTCCCTGTATTTCTCCTACTCTCCTCCTGACACATTCTCTGTTCCTTTCATAAAAATGCTTTCAGCATAACTAGTTGATAACACATGTAGATTAAAAACTTTAAATTATTATCAGAAACAAAATTACACAGCTTTGACCATTATTTTGATATTCTATTAGTTTTTAACTATTCCATGAACTCAGAGTGTATCTGAATTCACCTCCTGATTCCTGTTGCCCAGGGGAAAGGTCAAGATGTCACAAAGTAACAAAACATTTAGTCGTCTGGCTTCCTTATCTAGCATTCATGAGGGAGTGTGCTGCATGCAGTAAGCACTAAAGAAAAATTAAAATTGAATATCACTAACCCACATTTGGTACATTTTCATTAAAATCTAGGTACAACTGGTCAAATCCTTTATAGACTAAAAATGATAGAAAAATACCTTGGCTATAGTAACCTGATTTATAAAAAATTATGTATACATATAATAAATACAGTAAATTCCACTAGCAAGTTTCTGCTTGCTTATTTGTTTAAGAACATAAGCTCTGTGAACTCAGACATGCAATGTGTATTGCTGACCATTTTTTCCTGCCGTGTAGATAACAGGCGGCAGGCATTCCATAAACATTAATAGATGACTATAAAAAGTACATTTGTGCTAGTACTTTAATGCCATAATACTATCCACTGTCTCATGATCATTTCTGAACATGTACGTAACAGGATTCTGAGAGAACGGTAAAACTATCATCTGGTACTGAAACTCAGCATCTAAAGAGCATCATTGACCATTGTAAGTCCAGAAATAAACAAGTAAAAACATAAAATCCTAATTATGTTTGTAAGTTAATAAACACACTCTGATATAAGTATCTAATCAGCAATATGTTTGCTGTCTAAAGCTGTTGATATTCTCCTATGAAGTTCAAGAAAAGACAGGTTCAGATAACTACTCAAAGTCATTATCCTTGTCACCAGCATGGAAATTCACCAGAGGGAAGGCTGATTTAGCTATATTTTTATATTATCATTACATATATTTTTACAAATGATCCTGTACTCTTGTGGAACTAAACATTCTGAATTAATGTAATTAAGGGATTTGAAAGCAAATAATGAAACATCAAGAGAAAACAATTTGTTCTTCCTAATTGTTGTGATATGACTCTAGCTGCTCCTTCTCAGGCTCTTTTGCTAGATCATTCCTCCTCTACAATTGGAGGCCCTGGGGCTACATCCTTGTCTCTTTTCTATCTACAGTCCTCTAGGTGAATCTGTCCAGTTCCTTGGCTAAATAAATAAGTCAAAATGCTGATGACTCAAATCTTGATCTCCAGCTGCAACCTCTCCACTTAATTCCAGGCCTGTATATCCAAATGCCCAGTCACCAGCTCCACTTTGCTTTCAAATAGACATCTCAAAATTATTATTTCCAAAACCAAATTCTTGATCTACTACCCTAAACTTGCTAGTGTCCTACCTCTACTCTCCATGTACTTTTTATCTCAAAAAAACAGCGCCATTCATCATTTATGTAAATGCTCCAGCCAAAAACTTTGGGGTCATCCTTGACTCTCAGAGTCATTGAATCCATCAACAGACCTGCTCACCTCCACCCTCACAGTAGATCCTACACTCAACACTATGTCATTAGGAAGTCACGTTTTGCCTGGCCTCTGCAGCATCATCCTACCTGGATGCTCAGTTTCACTCCTGTCCTCCAAAAGCTATTCATCTGAATCACAGTAGTCATTTAAAAACATAAGTCAGATGATTCCATTTCCTGGCTCTCAAATCAAGCAGCTTCCCATCACGCTTAGAATAAAATTCAAATCATTTTTACATATCATGGCCTGTAAGGCCCTATATGTTCTGGCCCAGGGATATCTCCGCTGTCACTCATTCAAATTTCCCCAGCCACAGCAGCTTCCTTGAAGACCCTGAACATTCCAAGCACAACACAGCCTTGGGGTCTTCAAAATACCCTTGACTTTGTGCCTGGTACATTCTATTCAGACCGCTGTATGGTTTGTTTCTTCACTTTATACAAATCTCTGATCAAAGATACCTTCTCTTACCACCCTATTGAGAACAGAATACTGTTCCATCAGGCGCACTCTCTTCACCTTATTTTTGGTCTGCTTATATTGTGTTTCCCTCACTAGTGTAGATGCTTCATAAGGGCAGAGACCATATCTGTTTTATTCATCACTGTATCCCCAATACCTATAACAGTTCCTGATATACAGTAGAAGCTTAATATTTATTGAAAAACTGAATAAATTTGAGAAATCAGGTTTAGCTATGCATGATTCAGGGTATTATTTATAGCCATCATATAACTACACTGAAAACATATTTACAACTGGCAAAGTGCTTCCAAATACTTATATGTGAATGTTGAAAAGGGATCAAGGTCTGTAGAAAACTCTAATAACTGATCACACTGAGTTTCTCCTAATGAATATAAAAATATGCAAGCTTCATTGGTGTACTCTTTCTACTAAAGAGAACATACACACACATACATACACACACACACACACACACACACACACGTACGATTCGGAAAATTCCCAACAGGCTACAAAATAATAGGTTCTCCTCCAAGAGGATAACCAGTATACTCAACTCCCTAGAGCTGTAGAGATAAAGAGTAAAAAGCAAAAATGCACTTACCTCCCTTTTTCTACCAAGAGCAAGACATCCAATTTTTCCCCATTTTGAAGTACTGTGCTAATTGCTGAAGGGAAAGAAGAAAAGCATGAACATATTTTTAAAAAAAAGAGATATGGGAACATATGTATATGTATAACTGATTCACTTTGTTATAAAGCAGAAACTAACACACCATTGTAAAGCAATTATACTCTAATAAAGATGTTAAAAAAAAAAACATTACACAAAATACCCTTAAAGACTACTGAGTCAGTCATATGATGTTTGGGAGTGAGCCATCATAATTTTATGTGAAATCTACTACTTCCATGTACGATAAAGAATTGTGTGCAGAATATAAAGTGAGAGAGAGAAAAAAAAACCACTTACTTAGTTCTTGCAGTCTTCTTAAGTGCATTCTATCCTCCTGACCTTCTTGCATTTGAAGGCAAAAACGCAAACTAGATTTGTCCATAGCAAACCAGCCTTTTCTCCACTGATCCAGGGCATGGCAGTCTTTGTAGTAGAGTTGACCAATCAAATCATAGTCAGCTTCTGTTAAGTTTTCAGCAACAAAGGGAACAAAATGCTGTTAAAACAAATACAAAAAAGTAATAAAGACAGTGGAAATAGGAAATCCCTTACATAGCTACAGATACGAGGGCAAGTGGAAAAATTTGTTTTCCTATTTTTAAGATTTAGGAGTCCAGATTGCAAAACAATTATTTAAACCTGCTATCAGTCTTAAAACTGAAGAGCTATAATGCAATTTCAAATGGCAGCATCTTAAGCCATTTTTCTTATATATAGATTTGAAATAGGAAGACATTCTCTTTGTTGATTTGTGGCATTTTTCAAAATGTCAACCTTCAATGTTTGTCTTCATTTGTATCTTTTACTGAATCTGTTCTTTTCCCCTTTGTGTATACCATGAATAAGATATCTACCTATAAAAAGACATACATAAAAATGACTTTACAACATTGAAAAGATCTCCATAATCAAAGCACAGCCTTAATTTGAAGAATGACTTGTCCAAGATCCTACATTAATTTTGTCTCTGCTTAAGGCTCTAGGAAGGTAGTTCTTAACCTCTTTTGACTACAACATATGAAAACCTAATGAAGTATGGACATTCTTCCCAGAATCCTGTATAAAATTTTCATGGACCTCTGAAGGTTAAGAATCTTCTCTGGATTTAGGTAATAAAACAATATTTAAATACCTTGGCTATTGCTTCTGTCCATTTTCTTTGTGCTTGAGATGTTTCAGCTCCAAATAAAAATGCACGTTCTGAGGGTAAATAGATCTCGAAGGTAAAGATGGGCCTACAGCACACAAGAATAAAAAGATACCACTTGTTATGTTTGGCTTTTATGAGAAAAATAACACAAAGGTCCAGTTTTTAATTAAATTCTTTTTGAAAACGGAATAATGGTGTGAAATCTATCTACCCCCTACCTACCATATTTTTCTGTTGATGGTTTATATTTTATTCAAATGAGTTAAATGGAACACACTGGATCAGACAAAAGGAATATTATTCTGACTAATCACTCTACAGCGTGACTTTGTCGATGCCCTGATGTGACAAAGGCTGTCTTCTGTCTCCTCTTCCCTCTCAGACCACTCCTTCTTGATTTATTCTGACCCCCTATTCAACACAAACATTGTCCAAACAGTTCTCTAATTAGTTCTCTTCTTGTCTTACTTCACAAATTTTCCTTCCATCATCTTGTCTTATGCCAAAATTTCATCTCCTTACCATAGATAAAATTAGGGTAACATCCCAAGCCCTGAATTTTTCCTTCTGTTCCTCATCCACAGCTCCAAGTATTTCTTGGAACATGCTAAGTATATATTCTGCCATTACTCAAAATACCTTATACCAAACTCATCTTCCTTCTTCCTCTTTCTCACCCCCAACCTACTGTATCTCCTTCATATTCCAATTTAGAGGCATCACCATCTACCTCAGCAACAAGATCAAAACTTTGGAGTCTAATTTATTCTTCCCCTTGACATCAGCTCTTCATCCATTCAGTCAGACATTTAATGTTATCAGTTCAATCTTAAGAGTCTCTCAACCCACTGTTTTCCTTTTTAATTATTTCTTCCTCTAGCTAAACTTTCAGTAATTACAGTCTCTCTCCCTCCAACCTCTTCTTTATCACTTCAGTCAGCTCTCTTCCTAAAATACAAATCTGTGTGATTTTTCAGTGGCTACATTACTGATTTAAAATTCTGTAATATGCTATTGAAGGCAATTAAGAATTATTTTTTAACCACATCTCATTATAGATGCTTTCTCCTGCATATCTACTTGTATCAGTAACATTCCATCAAGAATGTTTTAGTTTTGAATATGATTATATGCTAATGTAAAATTATTTAGGCAACTTAATAAATAGGATGCACTTAATATTCCATGGTAAGCCATGTTAAACTGATCATTCATTTAGAGTAAAAGCACTATTAAGATTAAAACAAAAAACAAATCAACTAATAACCAGTTTTGTTCACATAAAAGAATCAAATCAGATTTACTAGAAAACAACAGTCATTTCAACTAGTATATATTGGTCATTATGTGATAACAGTAATATGTTTCATGCAATTTTATATAAATAACATAGCTTTACAAATCTCTTCCTTTTCTCACATAAACTTTTTATTAAAATACTATGATCCTATAAAACTGTTTTTTGCAGATTTTAGTATTCATACTTTTTAATTAATTACATGACAAAATGTGATAAGAAACTTTCACACCAAAGATCTTTAGAGGGTCAATTTCCAGAAGTCCTCACAGAATCCTATTAAACTATTTTGTAAGTCAAACATATTAAATAAAAAATGCTTCCTCTTTGAATTAAAACTTTTTTGAGACCATAAAAATGCCAAAGTAGATCTTTAAGGAATTTAGTATTTCAATATGCTATTAAATATGCTTAATAGTTTATTTTATTATGAACAAACCACTGAATTTTTTGTCATCTCTTTTAACCATGATACATTTAATGAAAGCATAAATTTTGTCATTAGTCCACTATTTTAAATAATGAATAAGTCATAAAAATTATGGGACCACATGTTCAAGAATGGAATGACATAAACTTACTTAAAATTAGATACAAACACGTCAGCCTTTCATAATACCTAATATAATATTTAAATTTTTCCACTTTTTAGTGAATTCCCTAAGGAACTTTCAGAAGCTGAAAAATGAGTAGGCTTCAAGAAACCATTAAACTCTTCTAAAAGAAGCAACTGAAGTGAAATGATAATAAAATCCTTATTACCTGGCATGATACATACCAGAAAATACTTTCGACTCCTAACCATTTAATGATAGACCTACCCAGTATTTAAACAGAAGTCTTCTTTGTGTACAGCCAGGCAGATAACTTCATTGGTATTAATGGTGCCATTAGGCGTGGTAGACTTATCATTTTCATAGTAACTCAAGAAGCCTCCTTCCAGAACACACCACTTTTTATTTGTCTCTAGGAATTGAAAACAAAACACAAAATAAATTGAGCTATACCATAAATCAAATTTTAAAATATGTGGTTTTAAATAATGACTGGATTCAAATAAATAAATGTATTAATTTTCTATTTTGTGTAAAGAGCATGATATTGCTGCATGGGATAAAAAGTTGTCACACTCCCTGCTCTCAAAAAAATTTACAATCTAGTAGCCAGGGACATACAAGACAAAAACAACTATGACACTGATGACCAGAGAAACAAGCAGATCCATAAAGAGACCGCTGCAAAACAACTCTGAAATGGCAAAGACTAATGTCTGTACAGAGTATTAGGAGGGAAAAATGTAGGGTTAAAAAGTAAGACTGTGGATGATGTGAGGTAGGTGAGCAAAGAAAGAAGGGGTCAGACCCTACAATGCCCTTAATGCCCTGTTTAGGGGATCTGAAATTCATCTTGTTAAGAATTCAGCACACTATCGCCTGCAGGCAAAATCCAGATCAACATATGTTTTTGTAAATAAAGTTTTGAAAAAGAGCCACACCTATTCATTTATGGATTTTCTGGGGCTGCTTTCCTGCTACGAGGGCAGAGATGACTTGTGGCAGAGACCATCTGGCCTGCAAAGCTTGAAATATTTACTATCTGGCCCTTTTCAGAAAAGTTTGTTGAGCTTTGATTTTACAGTTGATGGTGGGCCACTGAAATGGTTTCAACAGAAGAAAATTCCATATTTAAATCTTACACACTTCATTTCTGTGGAAAATGGATGTGAGAAGGTGAGGCTGGAGGCAGGAAACCAGTTAGGACACTGTCAAAAGAAGTCTAAGTGAAAGATGAAGATCATCCAAAGCAGGACAGTGGTACTAAGGATAATGGGTGGGGGAGGGGGGAGACAGAATGACGGGAAAGGATGGGGGACAATAGAGAGAGACAGGAGACAGAGGGAGGAAAGGGAGAGAGAAATGCATACATGCACCTTTGTGTTTTAAAGGGATACAACATGTATTGATGGGATGAAGGGAGTAAGGGAGAATTTATTAATGGTTGTATCATTTTTAGCTTTGATTACAAGGTGGGCAGGAATGTTTACTTTTTTCTACAAGAAAATAAAATAGAAACAGTTTTAGTGCATGTAACCTGAATTTCCTTTGATATATACTAAATGAGAGCTATCCCCTGGAAATCCAAGTAGGAACACCTATTAGGCAGATCACCCTATGAATTTGCATCTTCAGGGCAAGGAAAGGCCTCAATGACCAGAAAGTCTTTAGCATACAGCTAGTGGTTGAAAATACACAGTAACCAAGGATAAAATCTTAGGGAACTTAGGGAACAATGGATATAGAAGGGTCCATGAAAGCAATGAAGCAAATGAGAAGGGACGGTGTATAAAACAGGAAAGCGGTGAGCATTTATGAAAGGAATGATTACCAACATTAAATATAGAAAGAGATCCAATAAAACAAGGGCAGAAAATAGCAGTTGGTCTTCAGAATAAGGAGGTAACTGCCTCTACTTTAGTGAGAGTTCTGTCTCTCTCATCATCATCCTGAGGTGGACCCTACAAAGGTTAGACCCATTCTTGGAGGGAAGCTACCCTCAAACTGGAGTGGTAAGAAAATAACTTCAAACAAAAATACAGCTTTTGAAATAGTCATTTATGACTGAAAAGGATGTTTCTAAAGCAGCAAAAAATGCTTTCTGAGCTACAATCATTCCATAATTCTGAGAAAGAACTGTGGGAGGAAAGTCATAGAAAGGGGAGACTGCCAAAAACCTACCTGGCCAAAGAAAGAGATTACACGTGAAGTTAGGACCTAGGAAACGAGACTGAAGGCTCATGGCAGAGGCCAGGCCCCAGGAGTCTTACAAGACAGGTGTTCAGGAGTTTGTACCTGTAGACAAGTGGGAGCCATTGGAAGGTCTTAAACAAAAAGTGCCAAATGCATGATGCATAAAATAAATGTAAATGCAGAATCTAATTATGTTAATTCTAGTGGGAAACAAATGACAGATCTCTTTTAAAAGGTGAGTACAGGCTCACTGTAAGTTAGAAATATGGGCTTGAGGAGATTTAATCCTGTAGCATCATCACCATAACCCTTGATGAGCTTCATTTTTATAAGTGAAAACAGGTCAGAGGTCAAACCAAGTGGGCACAGATATTACCTTTGAGGATTTATAATAACAAAGCTGTGATAGTAAATCCTGACATTTCTATTCATCTGGGAAGCAACCAAAAGCTTCAACAAAATTACGTTGGATGGCATTGGTCTGCTTGGGCTAATTCAGACAGGATACCCTCTCTGCTACAGAAGTCTTACTTTTTAATCAGTTACCAGAAGATGTCCACCAGATGGTGCACAGAATGGACAACTCTGAGGACACAAGGTATTTACTAGACACAAGGTTGTGTGTATGGTGGTTGTACTGGCTGGAGGGGTTGTTCTCTGTTTCTATTCAACCTTGACGTTTAGATCAGGGAAGAAAAACACTACTGGAATTTACTCACACACAACTAAAAAACTCCAGAGGTGACCTACTGAAATACTCCTACGAAGTGATGTAGATACTATAACAGAGCTGGGCAGCTTGGTTGTCAGCTACCACCTGTAGGATATACCTAAATGCAAAGGCTCACTGGAAACCAGAAGCAGCTGTGTACATGGATCGCCTCTCTGCTACTCTTCCTCCTCCCCTTATCATCACATGCATGTGGCACGCACTGTTCTACACATCTCGTGCACATTAACTCACTGAATCCTCAGAACAACCCAGTTAGGTCAGTTGTATTACTGCATATCCCTTTCCTTATACCCTGCCCACAGGCACAAGCTGGTTGATTGACCTTGCCAACATCACACAGGTACATCAGAGCTGGGGGTAACACCCAGGCAGTCAACTAGGGAAGCTACCCTTCTATCTACTTCACAAACTGCCTCTCTGTGCCTGTTACATGCTTGAAGCATGTATGTCCATTTTTAAAATGCATCAGGGTACAGCAGAGGTCATACCTTCAAATAGATATGTGCACAATAAATGTATGGTAGTTAAGACGAAACTATTATTTTTTGAAACCATGACATTGTTTCCTGATGAAGAATTTCCTCAACTGATGGCATTCAGTGTTCACAGAAGACAGGAATACACACTAGGAATCCTTTTGATTTAAAATAAATGTATTACAGCCTTGGAGAAACATTTTTAAACTATACGAGTTAGGTATTTATAAAACAAAAGACCTTCAAAATTCCTCAATGCTAATCTATAAAAGAAAATATAAACAGTTAATAGAGAATTTCTAGTAAACCGTATCAACCACTTTCTTTTTAAAAATCAAATGCTGTGTCAACAAATCAAGGTAAGATACCAAGGGAAAATAATACAGTTGAGGGGAGAAAACAGAAAACAAAACCAGGATGCTATTATTCAGCTCTACACTTCGGTTTAACAAGAGCTATCAATCTTTCCTTTCATGAACACTGAATTGGGAAGAAAAAGAAAAATACAGATCAGTCTTCATAACCAGAGGCTAGAAGAACTTCAAATCCTGAAAACCTGAACTGACAATTTGAAGCCTCTGTAACTCTCTGAAGGACTTGCATGCATTCTATTCCCTGACTTTTTTGTTTGTTTTTAATCAGTCTATTCTATGGCCGTCCTGACAAGCCCTGATGGAGTTATGCAGTCCAGATGCTTTCAGAGGCAAAGGTGACAACCACACTTTAATCTCTAAATCTTTCCAAATAATTCAGTTTTCCCATAAAGCTGGTGCTCAACAGGAGTACCACCACTGCAGAATCTTGGCAGAAAAGAAAAACAAAAAAAACCCACCAGAACTCTATGTTTCTTGGTAGTTCGACTTTTTCTTCTTCATTTTTAAATAGGCTTTTTATGAACAAAATGTGTTTTGTTCAGAATATTAACTAATAACTATAAATGGAATATAACCTTTAAAAACTGTGAATCACTACATGGTACACCTGTAACTTATACAATGTTGTACAGAAACTATACTTCAATAAAAATTATATTAAGTCAGGTGTGCTTTTACACTGGTAGTAATGTGATTAGAGAAATGCCTATTTATTCAACACATATTTATCACATGACTACTATGTGTGGACACTGTTTTAGGCACCAGAGATTTGATAATCCTGAATAAACCAGAAAATGCTGATGCCTCAATGAGCTTTCACTCCAGAGGGGGAGAGAAACAAATCAAAGAAGGAAGGATCATTTTCATGCAATGAGTGCTATGACAGAAATAAGCAGCACACTATGAAAGAGAAGAGCCGACAGTGGGTGCACTCTTTAGTGGGCTGCCAAAGAGGTCTCTCCAACCAGGTAGCACTGAACTGATCCCCCAAGAGATGAGAAGCAGTCAGGCTGGGGGAAGTGCGCTCCTTGCAGAGTGAACGGCAATCACAAAGGTCCAGAGGAGGCAGAAAAGAACATGGCATGTTGCAGGAACAGACAGGAAATGAGTGTGGCCAGGCATGCAGAATAGGAAGGAAGGATGTGAGATGAAAGGGGGAAGGCACGAGAAGGTCTTTAAGGTCTTAATAAGGAAGAGAGTTATACTCTGTCATGGGAAGCCATTAAATGTATTTGAATGATGGAAACACATGATCTGATTTACATTTTCAACAATCACTAAGCCTGTTTTGGGGAATAAGGTTTGGAGGGAAGCTAGGGCAGATACCGGCAAGTAAGCGGGGTTGGGGCATGGGATGGGGGTGGGCGTATTACAGCCCAGGCAGGACAGGATGGTGGCTGGAGCTAGGACGATGTTAGTGAAGATGGAGGGTAGCCAACTGATTCATGGTCTATCCCGAGTTTTAAATGAGAGACACATTGGATGGAAGAAATGAAAACCATCAAAGAATACCCTATCATTAGATTATTTTCCAATGAAATCATTTCTGCGTGCTGCATGGTCAAAGTACAAAAGTTCAGTTTCCCATTACTTAAAACCGAATGCTCCAAAATGAGAAAATATCCCCAATTAAATTACATATATGGAGAACGCACTGGTTTCTGTTTTTTGAAGTAAATTTTAACAAAAATCCATAGTTAACTTATAAAAGATAAAAAGGAAAGAATGATTTAGTTACAAGTTTAAGACATCAATTCAGTCCCCAAGTAATTAAGAAAAACAATCTATTTCAATGAAATATTAAAACTGGTAAGTCTATAAATATTATAACCAGAATTGCCAAAAAACAAATAAAAGCTTATTTTTAGCCTGCTGAGTACTTATGATATATTGAGAAGCTTTAGGAAGCAAAGCTTATATTTCAAATTCCCTATTTCATCTTTGTATAAGTGGTTTGAAGGGTGGATCTAAGATATCCTACAATTTAGAAGAAACATTCTAGAAAGCTTGTACACTTATTAACAAGTACATTAATTGCCTTGTTATTCAATTATTTTAATAATGACTATCATCAATTCACAGATTGTTCTGATACTTTTTCCCTCCTGATCACTCAACTTTCGACTACTTAAGGGTTAAATATAGACAAGGAGCAATGGAAGATGAGAAAATCTCTGTAAAATTCATTATTTATTATTGGTTAGATTGAGTAAAGGAAGACATTAAAAACCACTTGCTGAAAGAACCAAAAAAAACCTAAGCTCAAAGAATAAAAATGCTCTGCCATCTAGTGTCACCCAGCCATCACACTCACCAAAGCCAAAGTTTTACAATAACAATTATAACACAAATCAGATGTAAAACTCTGCTTCATGTCGAGTTCCTCACTGTTCATGTGAAATCAGCATAATATCAGCTATCTTGCAGAGCTTTTATGAGGATTACAATGAACATAAAAAAGCGATGCCTTACACATAGTACATGCTCACTAAAGGAGAGGTACTGTTTACAGGAAAATCTAATAAAGTATACTTAATCTCAGTACAATTCTGCTTAGGGTTACAATTTTTTTTTTGGAAATAAAGCCTTTAACTGAAATAATCACTTTCAACTGCATGAGGATCAAGATTAACATTCTAAAGTGAGTTTTTCATCCTGTTGTTCCTTTGATCGAGTAATATAGCTGGATTTTACCACCTAGGGAATTACTAACCAGGCTCCCAAGCCTCTGAATATCCATCATCAACTGGCCTGTACAGCTTAATCTCTCTTAAATTCTCTTTGCTCCAGTGAGACAGAGATCATTATATTTTCATGCCTACATTTCTAAAATTAGTTCAAATGTATATAGCAAGAGCATGAGGCCTCTGTCTTACTCATTTTCGTATGCCGAATGCCCAGCACATGCCTGATTCAAGGAGCTGAATGGATAGATGGATAAATGATGATTCTGCTAAGATTAATGCCACAAACCTACTATGATTCTGCTAAGATTAATGCCACAAACCTAGAATAGGTTGTTAAATCAAATTAATTCACATCAGTTTTTTGAAACCATGCTTAAGCTTTATTTTACTTACACAGACACACACACACACTTATCATCAGAACAAACTGAACTACTGATAGAACACGCTGATAGAATACTGATAGAATATGTACTGAAAACTTGTCAGTTCTTCCTACATGTTGACATTTATCTATATTATCTCCCCAGTTAGGGTTTCTGTCCCGAATGGAAGGGGCTAAGTTTCACATTTCTTTGGAATATCCCTTAAATCCTTAAAACAGAATTGGTTGGCCCTGAGGTAGATGTCACTGAATTTTGCTGAGAATTCACTCAGCATTCCAAACCAGTGGTAAATCTTTGCTGCAGTGCATGAAATAATATCTGTGCCTGGAAGCATTTATAAAACCTAAAAAAAAAATATTTCTCTACCGCAAGATCAAATCTAACATATTAAGGGAAAAAAACAATCAAAATTTAAACCTAATTGTTTTGATAATGAAATAAAGTTTTACCAGATAACAAATCTAAAAGGAGCAAGAAAAGATACCTTCAAGGAGTTTTTTTTCTGAAGAGAGTTTAGAAGCTGCAGCAGGAGCCTGATACAAAAAGTCACAGAGGAACGTCGACTGGGAGGACTCTTGACTTAATCCACCTTCAGCATGTATGTCATGTTGAGGGAAATCTAGAAAAGTTACAGAAATAACACATCTGAAATCTGGAATGTAAACAATTTTCCCTTTGATTATAAATATGTAGGTGAGTTTTGAGGTAGAAGAAAAACTACTTCAAATATACTGCAGAATAAATATACAGAGATATTTATTTTACTCTGCATAAAATTTGCAAGTAAGCACTTCAGTTGTATTTATTATTCATGCATGAAAATCAGATTTAATTTTGGTGAAAATGATTATGTGGGATGAACTATTTTAATCTCCCATTTATAAAATTAAAGACACATAAAAAATTTATTTCCTAAACTTTCCCTTTAAATGAAATAAAACATGGGTCTTGATAAGCATCATCCATCTTTTTGGTAATTACATTTTCTTTTCATTCTGATGGTTTTTCTGATTTGAGAAACAAACAGATTCGTGCTTCAGTTCTCTTGGGGATATATAAGGAGAGATCAGGCTAGTGAAGGGATAGGGACTAACCTGAGAATTTGTTATGGTAGAGAAATTCCATTTGCAGACTCTGCCCCGCCTTCTTGGCCAGCAGATATGGGGTGCTATGCTCAGGGTCACCTGTTGCACACATGACATCTGCTCCACTGAACAGCAAAGCCATTGTTTCCAGAACATCTGGTTTCACCACAGCAGCACACAGAGCCTGGTCAATAAAAGAAAATACAATTTTTAAGTGAAGAAAATATGATTCTAGCTATTAAAATGTGTGAAAGTCTGCCAATTCATTTATGAGAGGAAGTCTGTACTCCTTTTTTTTTTAATCTTTATTTATTTATTTATTCTGGCTGCGTTGGGTCTTCATTGCTGCACGTGAGCTTTCTTTAGTTGCGGCGAGCGGGGGCTACTCTTCGTTGTGGTGCTCGGGCTTCTCAGTGCGGTGGCTTCTCTTGTTGCGAAGCATAGCCTCTAGGTGCATGGGCTTCATTAGTTGCGGCACGTGGGCTCAAGCTGCTCCGTGGCATGTGGGATCTTCCAGGTGCAGGGCTCAAACCCGTGTCCCCTGCATTGGCAGGCGGATTCTTAACTACACTGTGCCACCAGGGAAGCCCCCTGTATTCCTTTTTAACAAATACATCTAATAATCATTATGCCCTGAATTAACCAACAGACAAAAAAGGCCTGCTCTGCATGAATTTAAATTTCAACCGAAGATGTCCAAATCTCAATTCATTGTTTTGTTCCTGTGATGTTCCAAATCTTCAAATCCGTCATATTTGCCATGGAAGATATTTTGTATGTTTACATACTATGACAATGGCTGATGCTCAGAAAATTCAAAATACTTCAAACGTAGTAATGAAGTATCCACTAAATGTTTTGTTATGTCATATGAATGTTGTATGCATATATGTCTGTATGTCTGTATTTTGCAGAGCAATCGGGATGTGAGGAATCTTTAAATTACCGTTATGCTTTGGGAATTTGAAAGATGTGTACAAATTCAGGATCTTTCCTTTTGGAAGGGGGTATAGGTAGGAAGGAGGAACAGCAAGCAAGACACAATAAGACATGATTGACATGATATACATCATCATTGTACAAACAGTAAAACTCCTGGAACATGATGTTTTTTCCTTTGAAATAATAAGCTGCCTTCACAACTTTTCCCATCCCCTCTTCTTGCTTCCACACTTTACTGGCTTTCCATTTGCTTCTGAACTCTCTGATTTGGCACCCTGAATCCGTCTGACTTCTTAGCCTTGGGTTCACCATAATCGTCCTTCCTGACACGGTGCACCTGGACAGATGACTGGTTAATTTGCTCTCTGTAATGCAACTTCAGGACAATCACTCGCTGATTATCCCAATGGGCAGCTCAGAGAAGAGCGTACAACCAAGAAGTCCCAGGACACATTTCACAGCTCCAGCCTAGAGGGTCTACTACTAAAAGAGTACTTATCTTTTCTACCATGGTCTAGCTAACCTCTACAATTTCCTTCACATCAGAATCAAGAAGCCTAAATTCTTGTGCCTGACTGTACTGATTTGCTAGGTGATTTTGGGCAATTCCTTCTCATCTCCAGGTCTTAGTTTTTCTGCACCTGCAAAATGAGGATACTGGAAAGTGAAACAGCTAACATCCCTCCACTGGGATATAGCCTCTGACTGCTCTCACAATCTAATCCCACGTATTTCCTCTCATTCTCTCTCTCATTACCCTATTCTTTTCCTTCACAGCGTGCTGCATTTGCTATGGTATATTTATTGGCATGCAGCTGTTTATGGTCAATCTCCCCTGCGTGCAGATCACTCTCATGAATAAAAGAATCACATCTACTGTTTACTACAACTGTACCCCTGGAACCTAAAAATGAATTCAGCAATGAGTGAGTGTGCAATAAATATCTATTCACCACAAACACTCAATGGAGAAAGGATAGTCTCTTCAACAAATGATGCTGGGAAACTGAGTAACTACGTGCGAAAAAAAAAAAAAATGAAATTGGACCCCTACCTTACACCACTCACAAAAATTAATTTGAAATGTATTAAAGACTTAAACATAAGACCTGATACCATAAAACTTCTAGAAGAAAACGTAAGTGGTAAGCTCTTTGACATCAGTATTGGCAATGATTTTTTGGATATGACACCAAAAGCACAAGCAACAAACACAAAAATCAATAAAGGAGAGGCGGGCAGGATGCTTAACAAATTCTTTGCCAAAAGGGCAACATAAAATGGTCACAAGAAGACCTGGAATAACTCAACCAAAGGCAAACGACACTTCAAATCAATGGCACTAAACAAACTCCTGCTTTTAAAAATAAATTAATTGAGTAAATGAAGCTAATTTTGGTGATAGCAAGTCAACAATGTACTGGCTGAAGTTACGTTCAGTATCCTGTCCCTAAAATGGGGAAAATTGTCGAAGTTTTAAATGGTGTGTTTTAATGGCCTACGTCAGATAGAAACTATGTCAGATAGACGTAGATAGAAATGTTTTAATGGCCTACGTCAGATAGAAACTACGTCACATAGAAACTTCAGTTAGGGACAGAAGTTTATTCGCTATTGATAACGAATCCTCAAGTGAAATGAAGGAAAAAAAACAATGGCACAATCTCACAAAAGGAAATAAAATTAAACAATAATATTATGCGATAGCAAAAAATTTTTTTAACTTTTTTCCAAAACCCTTGGCATATATTTAAAAAGACCTTAATATCCATGTTTTTTGTTACATTTCATTGGTTACCTTATTTAATTCTTCCTTGGTAAGAGATGCCCAAAGGGTTTTTCTGAATCTTCCTTCTTTGTATTTCTGAGTGATAAAGTTTTTTCTCTTTTCTACTGGAGAGTCCACGTGTAATTCTTCATCTTTTTGAAGACTACCGGCCCAAAAGTCATTAGCTCTTTTGTTTCCAATGACAATAAAAAGCTGAATTATCAGAAAAAAATATAAAACATATCAATTCACAAAATGTATTTGAATCTGCAGAAAACTGACTCACATGACATTAAAGCATAGCTTGGTACAAAATATGCAAAATACAAGACCCAACTTTTTCCAGAAGATGGAGTGTGAAAGCAGATACTATTTCTATTTTAAATAGTCTAGCTGCTCGTAATAGCGGTGAAAGAATAGCTAGAAAATAAACTGCAAGCAACACAAATTGCAGCAAAAGCATTATTACTTTTTTTTTTAACATCTTTATTGGAGTATAATTGCTTTTCAATGGTGTGTTAGTTTCTGCTGTATAACAAAGTGAATCAGCTATACATATACATATATCCCCATATCTCCTCCCTCTTGCGTCTCCCTCCCACCCTCCCTATCCCACCCCTCTAGGTGGTCACAAAGTACTGAGCTGATCTCCCTGTGCTATGCGGCTGCTTCCCACTAGCTATCTATTTTACGTTTGGTAGTATATATACTACTTTTTGAAGGTAGCTCACATTGAGACAGATTCATTTAAAACGGCTGAGTAGGTGGGCTAACGTGGTTGACAGTGAGTGGTACAGACACCTGAGCAGAGAATGGATACAGGAGACAGCAAGTTAGACATGATCTCAGTTACTGACAGAGCATGGCCAAGATAAAGGATAGTCGATTTTGCCAAATGTTTTCATTCACTTTTCTGATATTTTATCCATGCTGGGTTAAAAAGAAAGTCAATTCTGGCTTTAAAAAAAGCTGTCAAGCCTTTAAGAGTAGTTATTACTATTTTTTTTTTTTGCAGTACGCGGGCCTCTCACTTTTGTGGCCTCTCCCGTTGCGGAGCACAGGCTCCGGACGCGCAGGCTCAGTGGCCATGGCTCACGGGCCCAGCCGCTCCACGGCATGTGGGATCTTCCCGCACCGGGGCATGAACCTGTGTCCCCTGCATCGGCAGGCGGACTCTCAGCCACTGCGCCACCAGGGAAGCCCCAAGTAGTTATTACTATTAAAGCTCCTTGTATTTTTTATTTTTAAAATAACTGTCTCATTTAGGAAGCATTCGGAAAGTTAAAGTAGAAAGTTACTACTATCAAACAGGCTATAAGCCATTTTTATAATGTGGTGAGAACTTGATCAGAGAGCTCTTAAAGTAACCACACCACCCCACTGCACACCTCCTCCTGGACCTCTGCTGACCACCACCACAGTCAAGTCGGACTCACCTCAATGAGTTCATTGCTCCAAATGCTGGCATCCATTTTCAGACTTCTAACCTTGGAATCTTTTGGTCCTAAAGATCTATGTTGCCCTGAAGTCAAAAAACAATTGATTTCTATTTGAATTTGTATGTAAACGTATTTTACCTTTAAAAAGAAAAGTGTATATGTACGTGTATAGGTATGTGTGGATTAATATATCTTTTGAACTTAAAACAAACCAATACCTACTTTCCACCCTACAGTGGTGGTAATCATACAGGAATCATAACCAACCACACTGAAGATAACAGAAATCACCATCACCACCCTGTACTGGTATAAAATTACACTTTTAAAAAGTGTGTATACATGTACATGTGTGTATATGTGTGCGTGCATATGCATGTATGTGTGCATGTATGTATGTGTATATACGTATATATATATTTTTTTCATTGTTTGGTAATTAACTAGAAATTGTAGGTCACTGAAAACATTTTATAATGGGTCTGTGTAAATTATACCTATGTGAGTGAATACAGATATCATCCCTTTACTCTTAAGAAAAACTAGCTACAACTGTAATAAATGCCTACTTAAAAATCTAAAGTCGATTCTTTATTCTACTATTATGCCTGGAAGAGAATGCCCAGCATTCTATCATAATCAATTTAATTCTGCTGTATAAATCATCATTCAGCCATTACTGGGCATTCAGGCATATGTCAGGCTCTTTCTAAGCTGAGACAGAAAAAAGGTATATAAGACATCATTCTTGATCTTAAGGACCTTTTGCCTAATGTGCATGAGAAAGCTCATTCCTCTCATTCCTCTCTCTACATTACATAGGTTCCTTTCCTCCATTCTTTGAGAAGGAAACTACTCAGAGCACAAAGCCCTAGAATTACCATGGCAAGAATCTGCATAGGTTTGCACTTATGAAGACTACAGAAAGGCAATACCAAAAGGAGTCAAGCTCAAAAGCATGCAGGAAGAAGGGATGCTGGAGTAGCCTAGGAAAGAATCTGACTTGAGGCAGCAGGAAAAGCAATAATGTGGAGAACAGATTTAGAGATATTCAGAAGATAAAACTGATGGGACCTGGTGGGCTTTAAGGAAAGAGGAAGGGTCAAGAGGGTCTCTCAAGGTTTAGGCTTCAGTGTAGGGTAGATAGTATTGCTTCTGACCAAGATTTGGAATATAGGAGAATATACAGTTTAATGTAATGAGCTGGGCAGCAATGAGAGCTCCATTTTATCATGTTAATTTTGAGGTATCTTGGGCAAATCCAAGTTGAGAATCTAGCAGGAGCTATAAGAGTAGAGTTTCCAACAGAGTAAGAATCCCCTGCTTAAAAATGAGAATTGAATTCAAATGACAACCTCACTCAGGAACATCAGAGTGAAAGAGAGCTTAGGATATAATCCAAGGGAACACACATATTTTAGGAGCAGGAAAAGGAAAAGTAACCTGGAAAAGGATGACCAGAGTAGTAAGAGCACACTAAGAGAAAATGGTGTGTCAGAAGTTGTGGGAGGATGGAAAGTCACTGAGCGACAGATTGGTCAAGACTGTCAAATACTGCAGAGAAGGCAGTGAAGATAGGACTGACCACACAGAAACTGAGAGGTAAAATACACTGGTAAATGTGGTGAAAATATTTTTACTGGAGGCGAGAGAAATGAAGACTAATTACAGGATGCTGATGATACACTAGGAAGTTAAAGAAATGAAGAAAACCTGTGCAGACCACTACACTTGAAAGTATCTTGTCTATGAAAGGAAAAAAGAACAGAGAATGATACGTAAGAGAATAGTAAGTTTTCAGAAAGCTGGTGTTAACAGAATTATGCAAGTTTATATGCTGAACCAAATAAACCATAGTTGAATACAGTTGTCCCTCGGTATCTCGGATTGGTACCAGGACCACCCACAGATACCAAAATCCGAGGATGCTCAAATCCCTTGTATAAAATGGCCATAGTATCTGCATATAACCCACACACATCCTTGTATACTTTAATTCATGTCTAGTTTACTTTTTTTTTTTTTTTTTGCAGTACACAGGCCTCTCACTGTTGTGGCCTCTCCCGTTGCGGAGCACAGGCTCCGGACGCGCACGCTCAGCGGCCGTGGCTCACGGGCCTAGCCGCTCCGCCGCAAGTGGGATATTCCCGGCCCGGGGCACGAACCCGTGTCCCCTGCATTGGCAGGAGGACTCTCAACCACTGCACCGCCAGGGAATCCCCTAGATTACTTTTAATACCTAATATAATAAAATGTTATGTAATAGTTGCTGGTACATGCAAATTCAAATTTTGCTTTTTTGAACTTCCTGTAAATTTTTGTTTTTCAAATATTTTTGATCCAGAGTTGTTCGATGTAGAACCGTGAATATGGAGGACCAATTGTACTTACACAGACAGTGAATAAGTGACAGGGTGAGGATCCTGAGAAGAGAGGAAAGGAAGGGAACATATGTAGACAGAGCAGCCTTAAACAACACAAACGCTATCTCTTCCAGTGAGACTGGAGAGGAGAAGAGGTTAGGAAAAAATATGAAGTCAAGGAGGATTAACTGATGCTTTTTACTGATGTAGGTGATCAGCTCATGAGGACATCTACCTCAGTGTGATGAGAAATGTGGTAGCACAGAGCTCTAGAAAAGTCTGAAGGGCTTGAAGCAGCTGTCCTGTCTTTGCTCTGAGGTGCTCTTCCTCTGCATTCTCTCAGTGAAACCTGTGCTCAACTCTATTCCTGCCCTTATCACACTCTATTGCAATTACTATTTATGTATTTGTGCAGGAAATGTCATGTCTTGTCTTACAGAGCATTTTAATTCCCAGGAACAGCACAGTACCTGGTAGAGCTGAAAAGCTGAAGGAAAGTTTAGGTTGTAGCTAACTTTTTCCAAGACCTCCACGGTCGCATACCTAAGCTAGGGTCCATTCCCTCTACTCACTTGGACAGCTGTCTTACCTCCCAAATACAAGGAGCTGTCAAATAGTTTGTAAGGTATAAGATCACAAGAAGAAAATTAGTCACAGTACTGGTTACTTTCATAAACTTCAATACACCTGGAAAATGCTTCTATATAAAAATTCTCGTTATAAGAGATACCAGATCTGGTGAACCAAGATTAGAGCGCAGAGCAGATTGATGTGAAAAACAGATCTTACAAAATATGACTGAGGAAAAAGGGACAAATCATACGAAGTGCAAGCGTGTTCAGGGTGCATTCTGAAACACATTCATCCAAAACCTAAAAATTTCAGCATCGTCTTTTTAAAATCCATACATGGGCCAGCAGGCACAAAAAAATGATTACATGCTTAAAAATCAATTTTTATATTTAAGTCATGCATAAGAGAAGTTTAGAATGATATTTCTAAATTTGATTTAAATGTAATAAATTTTCTCTGTTTTTATTTTTCATAGCCATTAGCTGGGACACAGTATATACGACACTAAAGAGCATTCAGTGCCAATCTGCCACCAAACAGTGATGAGCATAACTTATCACTAATTACCTGCACACTTCTTACAGATGACAACACAGAGATTGATGGATGCCCAGTCAGGATTTGGGGCTTTACAATCTGCACAGCTCCTGTTGGACTCATTGAACCAAATCTTCTCAGCTACTTCATAATCAGAGAGAGTTTCTGCTATCGATTGCTGCACAGCTTCAATCCACTCTTGTTTCTCTTTTTCAGACTCGGCCGTAAAGCTGAAACAATGAACATTTCTGCATTATCGATCTCCCTTGTAAAAGCCAATTAAGCAGTATGTTCAGTTTGCATATTCATTTCACTCATAAATTAAACAGCTGCTGAAAAATATGCCTTCCAGGCGGTTGGAGTCTTTTCTGTTAAAAATCATCTCATTGAGAAATCTATTTTTCTCCTTTAACTTTCCAAATTGCTTATGACTTTGTTTACCTATCTTGAACCAAAATTAACATACACATTTTTCTGACCAGGATATAAAAATCACCTTGTTAGGTCAAAAGCTTAAAAGAGAAGTCATGCTTCCTAAGCAGTGGTTACATAATAATCAATAAGAGACTGGCAGAGTTTCAGGACTATTGGCTTATTTTGCCAAGAAAATATGCCATAGTCTGAAACTAAGTTATCAAAAACACCCACGAGAAATTTTGATTTTTTGTCTTAAAAATAGATTCTTGTTTTTAAAATAGAAGAATGTCCAGATGGCTTTAAGAAACTGAGAAATCAAAAAAGTTTTAAATGATTACTATTCTAACAGAATTCTAACTCATTTTTAGCCATGTAATTCTTAGTGTTTATTGCGTGCCTGAGTGAAGGAATAAAACATTAAAACATCAGTTCACTCTTTCAAGAAATATTTACTGAGTACTTATAATGTGCCAGAAAATGTGCTACATACAGTGCTCCAAACTCAGTCAATGACCCACAAAATGATGCTTAATACTGAAATTTTCTGTTCTGAAGATGAAAATGCTTTGAGAGACAATGAAAACAAGAGAGGATTAACATTTTCTACGTAATCTATAAAGAAATTGAGTGGCCTACACGGATTATATTTTTTGAATCACTTCATGGTTCCATCATCACTATAATATTGATAAATTCCTTAGTGGTTTCTGCTTCTCTATAGAGATTGGTCAGAGCCCATATGGTACAATGGAAAATAGATACTTGGTCTTAGTCCCTGGTTCCTGGTATATAGTTCCCCAAACCCTTGGAATACCCTGAATGATAAAAGTCCTTTATACGCTAATGAGATAGCTTGTGGCTGAAGGCTAGACAGCTTTAGGATGGGAGCTGGTCAGCAGAAGACCAAGATGTGACTAGAGACTTGGAACTTTCAACCAGCCCTACCCCGTGACCTCTGGGAAGGAGAGAGAGGCTGGTGGAGTTAATCACCAATGGCCCAGGATTTCATCAATCTTGCCTATGAAGTGAAACCGCCATAAAATCCCCCAAACAGCAGGGTTCGAAGAGCTTTCAGGGTGATGAACACATTGAGGTGCTGGGAGAGTGGTGCACCCAGAGAGTCATTACAGATTATTAACACATATTAAGAACACACATTAAGTTTTCTGTTTCATTGTCATAATAAAGCAATTACCAGAGTGCCATAATACAAGACATGTATCAAAATGCTAAGGTATTTGATCATACGTGCTATGAGATCCATTCAATTCAGCAACATTTTGAGCTGAGGTTACTTTTAGGAAATCACGGAGCAGTTGTAATTACGGATTGCTCTTAAAGGACAGACTGTATTTGGTTAGGCTAAAAGAGGGCAAAATAACAATACAGCTTAAAGACAATGTAATATCTCTTTTTATTTTATATACCTTCAAAATAAAGTAATTTTTCACATATTTCTGGATCAAAAATCACCAAGCCTTCTAAGAAAAAGAGGTATTATGAAAAGAAACTACACAAATCTCATGAAATTAGTATCTTTCAGGTTGTATGATTATTCAGATCACTTTTTCAAGGTGTTATTATACACTGGATAATAAAGTACACGATATGAAAAAGTAAAAACATAAACTTTTTCTTTGTTTCAGGTGTACAGCAGAGTGATTCAGTTTTATATATATACATATATTTTTTCATATTCTTTTCCATTATAAGTTATTACAAAATATTGAATATAGTTTCCTGTGCTATACAGTAGGTACTTGTTGTTTATCCATTCTATACATAGTAGTGTGTATATGTTAATCCCAAATTCCTAATTTACCTCCCCACCATCCCCTTTGGTAACCATAAGTCTGTTTTCTATGTCTGTGAGTCTGTTTCTGTTTTGTAAATAAGTTAATTTGTTTCATTTTTTTAAGATTCCACATATAAGCAATATCATATGATATTTGTCTTTGTCTGTCTTCACTTAGTATGATAATCTCTAGGTCCATCTGTGTTGCTGTAAATGGCAAGATTTCATTATTTCTATGGCTGAGTAATATTCCATTGTATATATACACCACATCTTCTTTACCCATTCATCTGTCCATGGACATTTAGGTTGCTTCCATGTCTTGGCTATTGTAAACAGTGCTGCAATGAACACTGGGGTGCATGTATCTTTTCAAATTAGAGCTTCCTCCAGATATATGCCCAGGGGTAAGATTGTAGGATCATGTGGTAACTCTATTTTTAGTTTTTTAAGGAACCTCCATGCTCTTTTCCATAGTGGCTGCGCCAATTTACATTCCCACAACACTGCAGGAGGGTTCCCTTTTCTCCACACCCTCTCCAGCATTTATTATTTGTAGACTTTTTAATGATGACCATTCTGACTGGTGTGAGGTGATACCTCACTGTAGTTTTGATTTGTGTACCTCTAATAATCAGTGATATTGAGCATCTTTTCATGTGCCTATTGGCACATTTTTATATACTGGCTAATAAATTGTACAATATGAAAAAGAACATAATTTTATTAAGTGTCCTATAAGAAGCAAAATCACCACTGGCAACGTAAAAGGGGATCACTCAAGCTTTCCTGTAGTAGTACAAACAAAAAATGTTTAAATATAACTTACCTAAAACTCCTATAGGGAGTGATTATTTCAAAAGACTGTTTCACAGTTCGGTCCACTTGCTTTACATTTGCTACATTCATAGGAATTATGGTAATACCAAGTCCACTCTTAAAATCCTAGTTTGGAGAAAAACAAAACATTATAAAGAAACAAAAATATGGATTTTGAAAGTACATTTATATTCTCTAAAATTTAATAAATCTCATCAAATTTTACTACAACATATAAAGATGGAATTATTTCATTAAAAATGGATCGAGAGTGGTTTTATTTTAGGTAGTCACTTTCAATACATGGTAACACGATAGCATTTGAAGCTTGACAGTCTATTAATAAAGCAAGGGTCTTTTCACATGAAACACAAGTTGACTAGGACATATCTCTTGAACTACATATGCCTTCCTGTTAACAGTTAGGCACTTTTTCACCTTTAGCCATTTAGTAAAGGGAACTAACAGTGAACTAACCCTTACCATATGCCCAGCCGTTTTCCAGTTGGGGGAGCCAGATGACACTGTGAGGTTGGTATAATTACTATTTAGATGAAAAGAAGGGAAAACCGAGGCTCAAAAAGGTAAATAAGTGAGGCGGAAAGTGCGGCTGGCTGTACATGGTAGAAAGGGACTGAAACCCAAGCTGTCTGACTGCTCACTCTTTGTTCTGCTGTATGTCGTTACCTCTGCTCTGTCACATTACTTTCCTCATTTGCTCTCAACCAACAGCATTACTTATATTACAATTTTATCTCATTTCCAATATTTCATTACTTTCTTCTTCCTTCAATTAGATTCTTTAAAAGCTCCTCTAATGCTATTTTCGTATGAAAACTGCCATTGGTTCAGCACCTACAGCCTCTATGTTCAGCTTGATCTACCAAAATTAGAAACTGTTCAAAAGGCTACAAAGTCTGCCTTCTAAAAGCATTAAAGTTTGCAATATATTATCTAGCCATAAGGGTTCTGGAATTTGATTTATCAAACCATCTCACACCTTAAAAATATAATTAATCTGTACCTCGAAAAATGAATTATCTATGTGAACAGGTTCAGGTTAAATGTGCTCTGAATTCCTAAATTAAATTGTGACTAGGAAAAAGTAGCCATACTAAAGACGACTGCAAAAAATATTGGTCCACTTTCAGGAAGGACACTTCTAGCAGAGACCGTGAAAGAAACAATTCACAGGTCTTCTCTTTGTCTCTCCTGTTGTACAAGCTAAAAGCAAAAGTACTATTTTCCTATCTCCCTTGCAGCTAGGAGTGAACATATGTCATACTTATGGTCAATAAAATATAAATAATTCCTGGCCTGGGGGGCAAGAGACGGGGGGTGGAGAGACACATCTTCAAAGAAAAGACTTTCATTCCTTGCCTTTCCATCTTCTCGGGAAACAAAATCTGAAGCACAAAGCCATTTTAAAATGTAATAAGCATCCTTGAGATGAAAAGCCTGAGGACAAATTCTTGTACTGTAAGGATGCCAGAGTGAGGAAAAAAAAAATAGGAAGAATCTTGTTATCTGATGGCATTAGCAAGAGATTTGTTAAAACAAATCCCTGTCTATTTAAACTATCCTTCAGGTTTTTGTCATCTAATACATTCCTGGTTGATAAAATAAGTGTAATAAAAGAACATTATAACAAATTTCCCCCATTCGTAGAGGGTTTCCATTCACAAACTGCAGAAAAGTTTCACTTCATATTTTTAAAAATGTACAAGTTTTTAGTTAGAATGAAGAAATGACCCATTTGTAAACTGAGTATGATTTTTTCTGATGAAAGAACAATGGTTAATTTTGTTGGGAGAAACAAGCCAGAAATTGAGTCAGGAATATAAAAGATGCAGAGACATGCTAGGTGTGAAATACTTAGAAGGTGATATACTTCCACTTTGTATCATAAGCCCACCTAACAAAAAACAGTACTATATGGAGGAGGAGAATCAAACTTTTCCAATCTGCCCCATTTTAATAAGTTTTAGCATACTGGTATAGAGTTAAACTTATAATTATCAAATTAAAGCAAACAGATTCTCAGTTATCTATATCAATGCTCCTGCTGGATAATGTAACTATTGGAGAAACTCCCAGGGCATGTGATTAGAAATTCAAACTCTCTTTTATAAATCAGAAAATAAAGTAGGGGTAACCAGGTAAGATATTTTAGAAACAGCTTTCTGATGGCTCAGCTTGATATGGGGGTACCTCTAGAATAAAACAGTCAGGCTGCATCTTCTTCAAACAATTCTCTGTGATGCAGCTTTTGACAAGACCTGGCTATCAGACTACTCCCGCTTATTATTCTCTGATGGGGGCCTGGCCTACAGGTACTGCGCGTTACTAAGGGCGGAGATACAGACTCAGACCATCAGACTAGCAGATGGTAAGACTGACAACCTTGGATGGAAACTGATGAGCCTTATCAAGGCTCCAGCCTGAAGAGGTGGTACCTCATTTCGACAAGCAAGTCGTGAAGTATCTACATATAAAGCTGCAACTTCTGTTAAAAATAAAACAAGTGAGGGTTGGCTCAAGGCCCCAGATTTCTCCCAAGCAAGGCAAAGATGATTTTTTAGCCTGGAAAGAAACTGTAACCCATTTATCAGCTGTTTGCCATGGCCATATGGTTTTGAGTAATTAGAGTATCCCCTGAACTCACCGGCACAAATGGACTGTAAAATGTACAGCAGAGTAAGAAAATAAATGTCAGTGCTCTTGAAAGCTATTAAATATGAAACAACTGCATTTCTTACTAAAAATATTTGTGGTGACATTAAGCCATCTTTTCACACAGTCTTTAGAACATGTTTAGAACATATCTCATTCCTGATGCTCATCAAAATTACCTGTGTTGATCTCTTCCTCCCACCCTGAGATTCTGATCCCATGAATCAGAGGGCTTGCCTAAGGATTTTCAGTTAAAAAAAAAAGCAAAACAAAACTACCACCATATGATTCTCATACATAGCAATACTGAGAAACACTGAATTAGACAGCAGAACCAGTTGTAGAATCTAGACAGTATGAGTCTACAGCACTTAAATATCAGGATACAAACACTTCTCTCTGCCTTCTGCAGAGCAGAAAACAAGCATGCAGTCAGATTATACAAAAACCATTTGAAATTATTAAGACTAGTGGTTAAAAATAGGCTGGTCAGAACACAGTGACACATTGGATTGTCAAGAACCTATTTGTCCTCTATTCCAACCCTTCTGCTAATGTCCAAAGGCTTTAAAAGCATTGGTCTTCATTAAGCATATACACTCCATAACTGATTTAATATCTGTTAGTGTAGTGCTCTGAAGCTTACAAACAGCTATGAACTCTTATTTGATTTTCTTAACAATTCTGCGAAGAAGGCAGAGCAGATACATACTCCCAGTTAACTAATTGTTATTACTATTGTTATTTTATACCTCTTGAATTTGAAGGCAACCGAACATATTACCTATTAAAAAGTTAATTACAAGAAAATGCATGCTTAAAAATAACTAGCAGGCATATATAAATTTTGTAAAATGGGATGGAATGTGAGTGTTAAACTTTCAAGAAAATTAAATTACCCATTAACTACAATCTGACTGTGAGTACTATTCTCATTTTGAAAAATGAGCACGAGTCGGGAACATGCCAAACTTCAACCTTTAAAACCCTATAAACTGCATTGAAAAAAAACAATAGCATAGAAATTCAATAGGTAGAAATATATTGTTACAGAAAGCGTAAAGCTAAAAACAGATTCTGGAGTAAACTATATTTTACAGTTAATTTGCTGTCATACAATGTAGGATCTCAAAGAGCGTGAATGGCCACACTTGGCAGAGCAGGTCTGATGTTGCAAAGGTGATGATGATGGTGTGGGCACCAAGAGTCGGAACTGGGGGAGAATCTTTGCTGATCCATTTACTGGCTGTATGACTACTGGCAAGGTCCTTAATTCATCTAGACCTCCATTTCCTCATTTATGAAAAGACAGTACTATCTACCTTATATAGCATTGCTATAAAAAGTGAATAAAGAAATACATGTTGGGGGTCTGATACATCCAGACAGTTCCCTGATTTGAGGGTTCTAAATACAGAATTTGTCTTCAATGAGAATATATCCATTTTATTTACAGTGACTGAAAGTATTCACACCAATGATTCCATATTCAACTTTCAGATTGGAATTAATGGCAAATATTTACCACGACACTGAAATGGGTTATTTGTACAAATGCGTAGCAACAGAACCTGGCTCAAACTACCTTTTAAAACTACAAAGTGAAAGAGCAAAACAACAGTTTGATTCCTAAACAGCAAAATTAAAGAAGGGTTTGTTAACCCCAAATTCGCTGAAATCTCAAACCTATTTTTGGAAACACCAGATGCCAGGTTTCCATGCCAGGAATTTAAGAACTCAGTGCTTAGACATTTGTGGAAAACAGATGTGGCATTGTATGACATTGGCACAAGATTTCCAGGGAAACACCAGATGCAGAGTTTGGCCAGATATAGAACCAGAGAAACAGCAGGCCACCACCTCCATCCTGCTGCTTCTTTCTGCACCACACAAGCCAGAGCCCTATGAGGTCTATTTAAATTCTGTTAGAGTTTCATTCCCATGCCAGACACGAGGGAACGTTATGTTGGGGGAATGAGTCTCTTGCTATACCCCGACTTGAGAATGTTTAATCAAGTGAATGTAGTTAAAACCTCAATGCCACAATTATCATTAAATGGATACACAAACCCACCAAGCAAGACATCTGGTTGTAATAAATTCCCTAATATTAACATGATATTCAAAAACTCATCAGGAAAAGATGGGAGACTGGCTTTCAGGACAACATAACAAATGGAAACCAAAGTCAGTTATCTTAAATTCACGTCATATCTATCAGCAGAAATTCCGTTCAAGTAGCAGTACCATATATATAACACTACATATATATACCTGAGTGTATGTTCATATTTCATTACCTATCTAAAATTTTAAAAATACTGGCTTATATACTACACCCACATCATTTCAAGATAAATAAATGTATAAAATAATTATTTTTCAGAATACAGAAAGTCTATTAGCTTTGAACTGGAAAAAAACACACAATTTATCTCTATAAACAAAATTTC